CAAAAAGACTTGCGTAAGTACTCCCTTGAAAGCCAGGATATACAGGCTATGTGTCCTTTCTGAATTAACTTACCTTCTCTGTCCCCGAGTATTTTGGTAAAATTTCCCCGTATTTTATATTTATATATACTTAAAAGATTATTTTTGGCAATATTTCTATTCAAAATTACACAAATCGTTTCTTTTGATTATGCATATAGTAATTTAAAGACACCAGTCCTTTTTCAAAAACTAACTACCGCCCAAAGGATTCTGGAGTTCAATTTTTAGTAGGCAAGTTATGTGTCTGAACATTCAATTTGGAAACAAATTATACCCTTACAACTCGTACTCCATCATTTATGTAGATAGTCCTGATGGATACGCTTAGGCTGACGTATGTATTTATATCAATTCCATTAACTTTACTCTCCATTAATTATAATATTTGTTACCTTATTTTAGGGCAGGCATTCTTTCTGCCCTTTGCAATTCATTTGACTGCTTTGTTTCCTCTATCAAATTTTACCCTTTCTAGAACCATGTATATTCTTGTTGACTACTTTCCTACAAGCCAATTTGAAGCATCAGTACAAACCAATATGTAGAGACTACTCAGTTATTCATTATTTCAATCGGAATCTATGCAGTCTGCGACCACCATTTTGCCTTAAAGTTCTTGGGGATTTTAATCATCATGTTGTAGTGAATTGTAAGAGAGAACATGACGCGTTTACTTCTCCAGACTGCTATCATTATGGGTCACGAATGAAGAGGAGACGCAATCCAGACCTCTCCCTTTAATATCATATTTGATTCAATTACGCACAGTCCACCTTTGCTGTTTCAAGCCGTATTTTTCATTTTCAACCGAATGAGAGCATCCTTTCCTCAGTTTCCTCCATGTAACACCTAAGCAGCCTGATTTTTGAAGAGTGTGGGAAGGAAGAGTCTTGATGCACCCCAGGGGAACTCCCTTTTATAGTTCCTAAACCATTGCATTGCATCTATTATTTAGGTCGGATTTTGCTACCTAGATGACTTGCTGAGCTGCTATTGATATGACCAGAAATCTTCTAGATGACGTAGGCGTTGACGTTCACGAGGCATGCTTCCAAATCTACAGCATACACTTCAAAATGGATAGTGAGCCTAGGAAACTACTAACTCTGCTCTAAGCTACAGCATATTCTTTGAAACGCACTGAGCAGTGGGTTGAAAGGAAGAGGAGGGACAAGTATCCCCGTCTTTTTCTGACCAAAGGAACTAAAATCCGGAGAAGCAATCCGCAAACTTTGAAGTTTTAACGAAAACGATGAAAAACCTTAATATGAATACTGCATAGATGGCCTAATTTCCAAGTTCCAAAGAATGACAGGTAAGAAAATCCTCCTCTCTGCTCCTATTTTTTCCTACTCTGTGGTATTTTAATCGCTAGTAACAGATCTTTAGAACTGCGTACGACTTTGTTAAGTATTTGGCATATTCTTTTAATTTTTTCCTTCAACGATTGTTGCCCTCAATTCGGATTTTTGGCGACATTTGACAGTATTGCTGAAGCAATAATATGCTGGGATGTTGCATAGTTTATGCATCAGTGTCTAGAAAAAAGGGACACCTTAAAATGAACGTTAAACAAGAGGATCTTTATTTTACAACCTTTGTTTTTGAGGAAATCAAGTGGGAAAATTTGGCTTAGTCATTTTGTCACGCCTCTGTGATTTGTGCCAGCAGAGATTTGGTAAATGCGGAGATAACAATTCGCACCTTTCCTCTCTGTATCCTATGACTGAACTGGTCCCGAGTTTATTTGAACAAAAATAGGCGTATTTAACAGGACACTACATTTTAAGAAAGATTCATTAACCACATAAACTAGTTGAAATTAATGACCAGTGGATAAATTTGAAGAAGTGGCAGCCTTGATGCGATGCAGCTATCATAAAATAAAGCTATGTGGGCAGTACACTTCTTAAAAAATTGGAAACCAAATGAAGAGCTACTGGCATGCAACAAAAGTCACGCTACAAAGTAGAAGTGCCACCCTTAACCGAATATTCACGTCCCACATGAGTCTTCCTCTCTTCTAAACATGTTCATTGACTCTTTTACCTGGATCTGCCCTTCTTGCTGATCATCACATCGCAGCCATTGCTTTTGACTCCACTCCTGAACCATCGACTCTAATGAGTGATTCTCATTGAATTGTGGAGGGCATTCGTTTCCAACGTCACTGATGCATCTCGATAATTCCACTACATTCACTGATGGAAGAGAAGCTGCACTGGATAATGTCAAATCATGATCTACAAAGAGGCTATTTCGAGCAATTTTGTAAAAGGGCCGAAATGTGCATTAGACCAATACTAAGTAAAAAATGAGTGCCTTTTACCTCCTTCATATGGCAAAAACGCCTCTATTTTGGAGTTCTGCAGGTCATAATCATATGGTGCCTTTCCTATCACACAAAGCAGGGGTTTTCTTATGCATTTCTCTAGCTGTCATGCTAATGATACAGTCGCTAGAGTCCTAAGGCACTGGAATTTTCGACTCGAGGTGGGCAAGAGAAATGGTGGTGTCTATGAAGGCGAAAGAAGAATACACTGTTCATTTCTACTTTATAACTTGATAACACGCCTCGTGTTAACGGCTAGTCAAAATATGCTACTTAGTCAAAATCAGTGAGGCTTAAATGCTACGGCTGGGATATTGTAACATGGGGGAAATGCGTCGACTTCACCGGTGCTAACTAGTCAAATCACTCAAACAACGATTTGCAAATAAGGTCCTTAACAGAAGGAAAGCTTAAATAGTGGTGGCAGATAGAGTGCTGCGTGCATTTTACCCTCCATTTTTCGACGAATCGGTAACTCATGAGGTGCTTTCGAGGTTAGAATTCCATCAGTAAAAGGAATACACGTGTTCCGATTTTAAAAGGAAGCTAAGCAGTGTACTGTATTCGACACAAACGTGAGCTACTAAATCTATCAAACAATGTGGTGGTAGTAGTAGAGGCCATCAGAGATTGTGATACCTGATTTGCTGTGTAACTCGAATGGAGTGTGCAACAGAGAATCGGAGAGCGGTAGCTTAACCACCTTAGAAACTTCCTTTTGGAGCACATCATAAATAAAGTGTTTAACATGGAAGAATTCTTTCATTATATAAGAAATATCCAAGAATGGTGCACAAATTTAGAAAGAAGTTATGCCATTAGAAGTCTACCTAATTAATGATATACAATAAAATGTCCCAATATCTTTGACCGTGGTTTTCAAAACGTAAATGTAGTTCTTGGACACTTTGCAGAAACATGTGTTCAGCCACCCGTGTGCTTCAGTTTACGAGGATTGTGCTCCCGCTCTGTGGCATGGCCTTCGGTGCTTGCGTTTAGGTCAAGATCTCTAACACTACAGAATGACATACGGGATGGCTGTCCCGTAGCAGATCGTCCAGTCTAGATCAGAGAAAACCCCTCCACTTGCAAGCTTCAGTGCAACAGATGAGAGCCGTGGGTGATGTTGAGAAGAAATGCCTTCTTCCATTTGAGGAAATAGGCTAACTGATGTTTCTGGATGGCAAGTTATTTCAAAAGCACCAATTGAGTTGTGGTGGCTGACACCTGAAACGTCAACGACCGAGCTCAAAAGAAAAAAAGTAGCAGTTTGGCATTGTAATTAACACGGTAACTTTTGCTTTGCAGCACGATTTTGAGGAGATTGCTAGTACCTACCTAGGTCGTGCATATCTTTCTAAGCAGTATATACTTCCACAATGCTTTGGGTTATTACGTCATCAAAGAAGACTTCGATTGCCAAATGGGAGCTGCATGGACTTCCTAAATTAATCACTGGAGCAGCATTTTGTTTACATGGATTGCAGGCCTCTGTAATTTAAATCACCGTCGACTGTTTTTTGAATCATTTAAAAGCCTGAGGCATATGGAAAAGAAAGTGAAGAAGTGAAGGGGGGAAAGAAGGAAAATTCAAACATCTGAAAACTAAAGTATTGCACGACATGCAACTGGGTACAGTGCGGGAGTTAAGGCATCCTTTTTAGAGCTTGTCACTTTCGATGTCGAAGTTCTGTTGATCGTTGGTTCCTCTGTATTGTATCAAGTCGGTATCGGTGCAAATGCCTCCGTGAAGGAGGCCAGATTATCAAAAGGGGCTAAGGCTGCTAAATGTGTACTTCAACAGATACAAAATAGCTAAAAGAACTTCGACCACCATCTACTCTTCAATAAAAGTAGTGCTTTTGAAACATCTCACAGTCGCAAAACGTTCGTCATTAGTATCTACGTAAGTCTGGGAGTATTTAGTCCCAGGGGCAGTGGTGCCAGTATATCATAAAGTTATGGGTCCTGACGGAGTAGTAGTAGTGGTAGCAGTTTCACTGACTGCAAGATGTTTCACACTGGATCCGGGTCATTGGTGTGACTAAAAGTTCCAGTCATAGTAAATACGAGAAGGCGCATGGAAAGTTGTGTCATCCCAGTAATTAAAGTGAATTTGTGCGAATTGTGGTAGGAACCTTCAGCATACCCTTTTCCCATTTATCACCTGCATAATTTTAATGTCGGCTTAGCCGAATGAATGTGCTTTAAGCCAGTATTCTCGGTTCCACTGCTGCAAAATCTCTCCGTATAAACCATATCAAAGGATTTGCAGATAGGGCAGTATCCAAGGCTACCACCCAGGTGGGTCCAAATTTGTCCATCTCTCAATTTCGCATGTTTCATTGAAATGAAATGTACACTCTAATTGATGACATCCTACACAACACTGGTTGATAACATGTGGAATGACATTCGAGGAAATTTAACCCCTTTGACTGATTTTTGTCCACCTAGCTAGTGGAAGGAAAATTTCATGTTGAAACTTATATCCAATTTCCTAATAAATGACAACGTGCGTCATTTGCACACACCAAATAACATTCCATGCATTTTAAATCATCTGTCGTCTGCGTGGCTGACCAACATGTAATGAGGGGCAACTTCTATTTTTAGCCCTCTTTCATCAAGTGTAATTTATTCTCTCAAATACTTCACTAGCCCACATTCCCAAGGCCCAACCATGCAACTTCTTTTATGAGCTGTTCGGTACAACTCGAGGAGGTTTCGACAAGACTAGCTCTTGAGAAATATATAGCTCGTACCATTTAATTGCAATAATGTGTCATCCTAACGAGGCCGCACATAACCTTGTGCTTCAAATCGTATCAGGATATTTTTGCCTCATTTAAGGGGGAGTAAGGCGGAAAGGCGAAGGTTCAACCTCATCCATTTTATCTTTTGATGGGATTTCCCCACCCTTCAACTGCTGCAATCACCTAATTGCTTTTGCTTGAACAAATAAAGGGAACACGCTAGAGAATCAACTGCCTAATACCTTCCAAAGACATAATACTAGCCGTGTCCCGAGGCGAATAAGGCTCTTTGCAGCTACATTTTAATGGTCCATTTTTAGTAATTCTGACCACCCTCTCCTTTGTTTAGTCCAGACGCCTCGATAGGCTAAGGAAAGCTATTTGTTCCAAATACCATTTCCTTTCTCATTGTCTTTTAGTTATGACGGCTCTCGTATCTTCCAATACAAGTGCAACTGCGGTCACAGCCATTCTTGAAGTAGGAGCTGGACATCACGGTAACAAATCGAAGGTTGGAAATATAAGTCCTTGCTAACAAGGCAATTTGTAAAAGATCAATTAACATTTGCGGCGATTTTCAAGAGAAAATGAGGCAATTTCAGCTGATTTAGGCTTAGAATTACCTTGTTTTGGAAAAAAGGCTTTTGCTCTTACTTTTGATTAAATCTTAAAGTCTAGTTGTCTTTGACTTGGAAGTAAGGTGGAAGGCTCATCCGCTTAAACGATAGACAGTACTCAAAGTTTGCTGGGGGATGCATTACAGCCCACCGTATATTTTAACTGTGGCTCAAAGAAACCGCACTTCTCAGATCTCGTTCTTCCAATTTCGGATGATTACTGCCAAAGAGTGGTGATGAATAACCCGGCGACTTAGTTCAATAGAGGTGGTGGAGCAGTAGAAGTGAGGTAGCATTTTTTTGCTTTTGTTGTCGAAATAAGTAAAGGTTGTCGCTTTGTTTTTTGGAAAATAAGCCAAAATGCATTAGCTATCAACTTTTAAAAAATCTTTCATTGGCCTTAAATAGTAGTGCCCAACCTGTCAGGAACACTCAGAGAATGCCTTAATTACGCCCTGCTTATATCATCTGACGTGTTGTAACGACACTTGTCATCAGCATTGCCCACTTCAGAAACACTTCTGAAAACATTTAAATGCTGCCTCTCAAGGATAAGGACTAGCTTTTATTAAGTAGAGCTGGACATGGCAACGTAGTAGCCAACGTGGAGACATTGTAATTATTTGCCATGCAAGCCGAAGGCGGAGAGGTAGTGCCAACTCCTAAACCAATCACAGCTGCCCCTGTGAATAGAATAACCTTAGCTTTCAACTCAATGACGGGTAACTTTATGTAGCGGCCTAAAATTGGTTTAGTGTGAGAGAAAGTGAGGACGTAAAAGAGATCTCTTTTAGGTTTGGTCCACAACTAAGGGAGCAGGACTTAGGGTTTTCAGGAAAATCATAAAAAAGAGGAAAAATTTAGGTGTTCTAATGTGATTATTTCGAAATGCCCACATCAAATAGGAAAAGATAAATATTAGACAATAATTGTCTGCACAGAAAGGGTATAATTTATGCAACTTCTATCGGTTCTCTAAGGTCTCTCCTTAATCTCTCTGAAGTCTCATCAATACCAACTCGGATGGGCTGGAATTTTTACCCAATTTCTCTGCTCCTATTCACATCAGTAAGTAAGGAAATGCAATTTCCAAGGCCCAAAAATCACTGCAAAGCCTCCTTAATGCAAGACGAAGCAAATCTATGCGTTTCCATATGATAAAAGAGGATCTTTTCGAGGAGAAGCTTGTGGGCTGATGTACTGAACCGTTAAATACACCTTAAACAAAAGACGTCCTCCTAGCTTGATGACAAATCCACCATAACAAACAACACTCCCATCAGCATCTATTTTAAGGGTTAATAAACCTCCCTTCACTTTCTTGTGTAAGTCAAACACAATCAGTCCTCAAAATGATGAAGGGGACCACTTGATAGGTATTACTTTTCCCAAAAATTTGTAAGTTCATTTCTACGGAGCAACTTTCTTTCACCTTTTGAGTAGCCAGTATTTTTGAAAAACTACAAGTACCTAGCCATAAAAGTCTATTATTTTGTAATGTTGCTGCCAGCATTCCTAAATGCAACCAGAAATATTGGGTCAAAAGAAATCAGTCTTAAAAGGAATCTACAGATAGGAGTACTATTAGGTGGATTCCATTGCTGCCACTTTGCCAAGTCGCCAGCATTCTACTGACGTTGAGGTGGAATTAAGGTGCATTTGATTACTTTCATGACATTTTA